GACAGTATCGTCACCTCTTTCTCCTCAGCCATTTAGAAATTCCGGCCACGAGGATCCGGCAGTTATTCGAGAACCAACAGAGACGTCCGGGTAACCGGTACCACAGAGTTTGCTAATATTATTCAACGAGTATATGGGCTTCTCTCGCCTATAACGTTTAGGAAAAGACTTGGGTTAAGATTATTCGAGAACACGTTTAATCTTGTAAACGGTGCATCGCGAGAGGAGCTCATCTACGCCTGGAAAACGTTCCCGAAAACGCACACTTTCGTATTATTCGCGTGACGGAACAAACGCTGGCACGCTTGCGGGTATTTCGTTGAGCGTTTAAGCGGAATTCTGGCCGCACCGAAACGGTGTAATTACGCGGAGAGGTTTAATGGCGAGTGTAACGCGGGTATTCATCGAAAGGTACGATATTATTAACGAATGGATAATGACCGATTAAATTCGACGATATCGCGATGAGTTTTTATCTTGATACGTGTAATTACGGGTCTTGGAAGGTTTCGGGAATGATTGATTCGCGTGAGTCCGCCACGTGGGCGGCGATGATGCTTCCTGATAATTTTGATAGTAAGAGGCGACTCATCTCTTTTTAAGTATAGGCTGTCTGGAATAAGCAATGTCTTTTAAATGGTTAAAAATAGAAAAAGTTATTATTCGAAATATTTTCTAGGCTTCTTCATGCAATCTGTTCTAAGTCTACTTCAGTCGCGATCCTCTTGGTACGAGACATGGTTGTAATACTTAAGAGCTTTCAACTTTATTAAAAAATTTTAATACAAACTTTGTGATACCCTTCTACAAACATAGCAAAGTTTCGTCTAGGAGCTCGATTCATTTTCAAACGTGTACTTCTTCGTTACTACATGTAATCGGTGTTTAAACATGCAAATTTGAGTAAAATCTAATCTCTTATGAACACTAATTTTAATTTTGTGTAACAGTCAAAATTCTTATCCTCCTCTTATTTTAATGTGCACTTCATCTGATACACGCGAAAGGTCCCCACCCCCTGTGGCTCGGGGGGCTTAGAATACGGCCACGGTATTCCCTGCCTGTCGTAAGAGGCGACTAAAAGGGGTCACACAGACACATACACACACGTACATTGGGCGTTCATTGGGCAACAAGGTGACAGATAAGTTACCAAAAATGCCAGCCTTTGGGCGAAATTTGAGATAGATAGATAGATCTGATGCACATGCTTCGTTTAATGTATCTTCAAAATTTCCAACTTCAATTCTCTCTGTAACCTATTGTTTTCTGAAACAAGAAAGAAAAGAGAAACCATCCAATTCAATATGTAGAATCCCTGGCAGAGCCAACAGACTGGCGCTCTCCCAATTCGTCCGACTAATTAATTAGCGTTAATATTCATAGGGGCGTCCGCACAAATGGGCTGCTTTAAAAACAATTTAATTAATCTCCTTTGGGAGGGTGAAGCTTCTTTCACTCGTAACACCGTTCCATCTTTCTCTTTCTTCTTTCGACGAGCAACCTTTCCAGGTGACAGGGGCCACTGCTACAAATGTAATTCAACTTAATTCCCTCGGCGGGTCTGAACGTCCGCGACAGACGACAAAATCTGTTTAATCAGTTCCACTTACTGCTTGATAAGGAATTAAGGAACGTGCAGAGCAGTCGGCTTTACGCGATCCCTGCGCTCTACGTATTTGCGATCTTTATCTCCACTCCGTGCTATTCGCTTTGTTTTACCTTCGAATTAATGTACGGCTCTATTTGTTAGAGCAATTTCCTTTTTCTTTCGCTCGCTGTCAGGGCTTTAGGGATATGGCGAGAAAAGTCTATGAGGTTAGAGGTGAACGAACGACAAAGTCTTGACGCGTCGAGTTGTTTCGCTCTTTGAGCTCGAAGGGATGACAACGGAAAAAGGGGATGGCGAACATGGGGTTGAGATTGAATAGAAGAGATATTGATATCATAGCGTGGTGAAGGGTAGATTTAATAAAAGAAGGGATTCATTGTTAGTTATCTGGCATTATTTTATATTTGAAATCTTTAGAAAATGAAACAGAATCCCTTTTTTTCTTAAGATACGTAATTGGAAAGAAGCATCACGAGTTCTATAGCGGTTGAAGAGGTTTTCTTTTGACCACGATAAATCTTTTTAACGTTTCGTCGCTGCAGGCAAGTACAATGAACATTTGGAACTGGTACTCGGGCATAGCTCCGTCAATTCACGATATTTTTCAAACGAGAGAAAATCGATCGGCAAGGATGACGAGGAGCTGCATGGTGAGAGCCACTTCCGGCCTCTTCGCGAGAAGAAACGCGTCGCAAGCTAAGAGTTCCTGTCACTGTAAAACGTCTCTCGACGTGCCGCTGTAAAATGTTTTCGCTTCGTAGAACGCTCTCGACCCGCATACGCCGTTTTTCAGTCACTTTATTCCTTACGTTTGCCATTTTTCCGCCACGTTCAGAACGACCAGCTTTCGAAAAGTTCTGTGAGAGTGGTGAAGAAGAATCAGCAGTTAAAAAGTATTAGCACCTGGTCGAGTGCAGTTGGGATGAAATAATTGAATACAGTTGTTAAATTAGGTAAATTTTGAATTTAACATCTTTTATATTGGCACCATTTTATTATACTAACGACATTACACCATTTTGTACACTTCACAGATTTTTCATCTTCTTTAATATTATTACGTGTTCATAATTTCCATTGATTTTCATCATGGAGAAAATTTCTCGCGATTTTTCCATGACCCTTTGAAGCGCCTCTTTGTTTTGTAATGAAACGATAATGTTATTGCAGGAAACGATGCTTTCACGTTATCCCCTACACAATATCGATGATCGAAAAGCAGAATGCAGTGAAATAATAATTAACGGGGATTGTGATTTCAATTCAATACGTTCAATAGCGGCGAATGATTAATAGTGATGAATGCGCGTTGCTCGAAGAATAGATATTATTGAGTTGTTCTACTGAAAAGTAGCGTCTGCGTTGCATGGCTCCAACAAGTACATACTGTGGAGTGTGACGAATCCAAATCGTTTAAATCCTTCTTCCATTCGGGTGTATAATAAAATATGTTAACATTTTCGATAATCAGTTATCAATTCTTCGATATTTATATTTTAATCGATGGATGTCTGATTTATTTCAAACTAACTACTGAATGTACGAACAGGCTCCAATCAAAACTCCTCAAACTAACGCTATTGTATGCGTTCATTGGCTATATTTTTAAATACTGTATTAAATTACTAGTATCCCTCGTTACAGAATATCCTGACCGGCATTAGTAAAGGAACAATGCATAAACTTCAATCTATTGTTCGCTGCATCTAATAGCTAACAATTTTGTAACAAGACTATGAATGAAAGCTTTGTATAACCATCAAATTTTAAACTTCAATTTGATGTATCAGAAATACAATTTTGCAATACTTTTACATAATTAAATCGTGTCGGACGAAGAGTAGAAAATGAAAAATTGAAATCTCACAATCTACTAACATTTTTACATATTCGAGACTATTGTTTGCACTTAAATCAATGTCTTCATCAACGTCAAGAGGCAATTAATAACTGCACCGGTCTTTTAAGTGATACGTTGTGACACTAATTTCTACTAATCGTTTAATTACAATCATTACTAGCAAATCCGTGCGTAATTAGCGCATAATGTCCAATATTTTTGTTATTAGTGTATAACTTTGTTATTAGTGCTCTGACGAAAAAATGTTAAAGGAAGAAGATAAATGGTTCGAAAAGCACTACATCTGTAGGCCCTTAGATTTTTTTAAATGTAAATAGTGCATGCGTAATTAACAATTTCATCGTTTTTTCAAATGGGAATGCATAGTTTTTCTTGCATAAATCGATTCCCCTGTTAATTCTACGTCAAAAAGTACTGGGGTAGTATGGCATAAAAATGCTTAGTTCTCGAGATATTTACGAAAAACGTTGTTATTGAAGGGGGATTTGAAATCTTTAAACCACTTTCTCTCTCCTGCTTTCTTTCTTTCAGCTTTCTCCGTGGGCTCATTCTTCTTGTCTTTCGACACCCTTTCATTCTACTTTTTTTTTTTTTTTTTTTTTTTTAGCCAGGGGGTGCCCCTTGGAGCACCCTTTAGGAGCTGTATAAGAGATGCCGCACCTGAATGTTTAGGAGGCCAGGTAGTATGCTTACTTATCATGCATTAACTTGGGTTTCGGCATGTACAATCGCCTTTTCATCGGGTCCGTATGACCCGAGATACAGGTCTATAACGAGTGTTTTATACGGAACATTAGAGGTGTGCGAACAGCGCATTCAAACATGGGGCGGGTGACCGCGGACCCTGCGTTCTTCAAAAATGTTTTAGAATTCAACTATCTCGCGCCAAGATTCTACAAAATCAAACAGGGTAACCAGTGGTGTTGAATTTGAGATCGGTGATATCTAAAAAGTGCGGAGGTTTCATTCATGAGGCGACGAAGGGAAATTCAAGAGCCGATCTCCAGCGACTATCTCCAGAGGTAGTCGCGTGTGGCCGGTAAAATATTTTTGAAGATCGCATTAAAAATATTTTTGAACCTCCGCACGTTTTAGATATCACCGATCTCAAATTCAACACCACTGGTTACCCTGTTTGATTTTGTAGAATCTTGGCGCGAGATAGTTGAATTCTAAAACATTTTTGAAGAACGCAGGGTCCGCGGTCACCCGCCCCATGTTTGAATGCGCTGTCCGCACACCTCTAATGTTCCGTATAAAACACTCGTTATAGACTTGTATCTCGGGTCATACGGACCCGATGAAAAGGCGATTGTACATGCCGAAACCTAAGTTAATGCATGGTAAGTAAGCATACTCCCTGGCCTCCTAAATATTCAGGTGCAGCATCCCTTATACAGCTCCTAAAGGGTGCTCCAAGGGGCACCCCCTGGCTAAAAAAAAAAAAAAAAAAAAAAAAAAGTAGAATGAAAGGGTGTCGAAAGACAAGAAGAATGAGCCTATGGAGAAAGCTGGGAGAAAGAAAGTAAGGGAGAGAAAGTGGTTTAAAGATTTCAAAACCCCCTTCAATAACTACGTTTTTCGTAAATATCTCCTTTCCTTTCTCATGTATCTCATTACAAATTCTATGGTACATAATATTCAACAGTGTTCGTTTCCTCTCTAGTATTACCTTATTACCCTTTTAATTGTCCTGCACTAAAGCGGTTCTAAAGTTCTAATTCTTCTGGATTCTAGCCGATCGCTATAACATGTAATCCACTTCGCGGCTGAATCTGTTCCCTCGTTCACTCGTATTCCTACGACGAATTGGAAAGCACAGCTTGCGCTGTACTTTTCGCTCGGAAGAGGAAGAAATTCGTCGAAGTTTCCTTGGCACACAGCCGAAAATCTGTTCAACGCATGAAACTCTTGCTACCAACTACAATCATATTTTCGTGATTTCAAACGATTCTCGGTGAGATGACTGTCAACGTTGAATTTCATTGTTGGTTACGGTTTAAACGTGATATAGGTACTTAAGTAGAGTTACATTATAGTTCCAGTACTAATTACAATTTAAGCTGTCGAGATTCGCCGAAAGGGTGTAATGATACTTCAATTATTTGCTAATATGTTGAAACAGTGAATATTTCATTGATTTGGGCATTTGTTAATTTTTCTTTTTACGAGAATTAATACAATTAATTTTATAATAAATTCATTGTATAATTCTTAATAGAAACGCTCAGAAACTGTCATACGAACATTGATTGGGTTTTCTCGTTTCGAGCAGAGGCGGCGAAATATAATTCAACATTTCCGCGAGACAGTTGCCTTTTTCGACAGTAATATCACTCGGCCAGCAATTTTATTCCGCAGCCAAGCACCGAGTTCCCGAGACAAGCGGTGATATTGCTAAAAGAGATAAAAGAGAAGTAAAACCGCGAACGCTGTCTCTTCTACCGGAGCGAAGAAAGAATCTAGCCGAGCGAATATCGCGCTCGAAACTTTCCATTAATATTCGGGAAATATTTAAACTTAGCGGGAAAGTTGAGGGATCGTTCGAACCGTGTTAATTCGGGCTTAAGCTCGAAGCTTGGTCACCGAACAGAGGGGGATGGAAAAGTAGAAACTACCTGCGGAGGGTTGAAATGATGTACAGAGTGGAAACGGGTATATTGCGAGCAGTGAATCAACAATAAAGTTGATCGGTGTCCTGTTTCCGTTTCAGACACCAGAACGACGTCGTTGCTTTTGTTCCAACAGTCACGTTTATCTGAATTATCAGCGGGCAACAGGATGTACGGCTAAAGTTTGTGAAATATCCTGATTGTATTTATTGAATTTCTGTTTGATTGTATTTTATTAAGTTGCATTTCAAAGCATCAAAAATCTGACAAATTTCGGTGAAAGAAATATTTATTTTTTGAAATAGCTGATTAATTAAAGAATAGTCAAACTGTGGTAATTTGAATACTTAAGCAATTCTAATAATTTATAAATTTCTCGGCGGTAAGGAACAATTAATTACTTATTTTATTGGTATTAACTATACTGTAAAGTGAGGTAGAGAATGTAATTGAAAACGTTTGTAGTGAAACTTTCTGTGTCTCGTTCTTGGGTCGCGTTGAACCTGTGCACTGTAACGAGTTAGAACGGAAGTTAACTTTTCTATTTCCCTGGCCAAGTGGACGATTCAGATAATCTAGCTAATGGAACGACATGATCGTTTCTTCTAACGGTAGCAATTTATTTTAATATATTTTGCAAAACCTTTTGCGAAACGCGAAACCCATTAACTGTCCACTCTATATATCTTCTGCTAACAATCTAGATTTCTTTTCCGTATTTATAAAAAAAGATAGTATTAGCGCAAACCTCTTAAATAAAGGCGATAAACAAGTATCCATTTCGTATTTAAATTCACGATGTATTGAAATATTTCGACAACAGTACGGCGACAATACGAAATTTTACGACCTCTGTTCTGCGTTTCACAGAAATTCGAGTATACCATTTAATAAATTAACTTCAGGTAAATTGAAATCGACCGCCAAATGAATGGCATTCCGCGATTATAAACTTGCGAGAAAATCAATTGCAACCGCGAAACGATTCACCCAATTTTAGAACAGAAAGTTGGATTTATTTACACCATAATACCTACCTTCGTTTCATATTTCAGTCGCTATTTAAATATGCTATCAACAAATAGCAGTTGTTTACTATTTTATAATTAATATCGAGTGCTATTATAATTTGTTCAATTAGTCGTTGTCAATACCTGCAAGAGAGTTGAAATTGGAAAGCTGGTTCAATGGTATTTCGAATAATTGCAATTATAACTTTTTTCTATATACTGCCGTTTATTCAGAAGCCAATTACAAGTTGCATTTTCGAATGCCAAAGACAAAAGGGGAGCTTTAACTCCAGAAAAGAGATTGACGATCCAGTGCCGGGCCATCGAGTTGAGAAAAGTTGGCATCGTTTCCAGATTTCGGTTGTTCCAATGAAAGGGTGGTTGAGTTCGTACAGTTTGCCTCGTAAGCAAGTCGAACGACACGTCTTCCGGTTTCCGTTACGATGCAATTGATCGGATTTCATTGTGAAACAAAAACAGCATCCACAATTTCGTGATCTCCAGGTTTGCATATCTAATTAAAATTCATTACAAAAATAAACTGCAAATAACATTCTGTTTTCGTTATTATTATAACTAACCGTTCATTATAAGTTCGCTTAAATTAAAATATTTATTTGACACGAGCTGCTGTCAGCGCGCTGAAATAAAAATATAAATTCAGCTGACGTGTTTTATGAAAAATAATTTCATTTGTAACACCTTACTCGGTTGTCAACGTGTTTAATTACGCTATCGTTAAACTGACATTAAAAATCCCAGTGACGTACAACATCCTTGAAATTGTCGTTCACAGTTCCGTCTGAAATTAAATGAAAATTAATTTTTATAATGAACATACCTTCCGTGCATTACCTCTGCGAAGCTATTAGGTGAAACAAATTTGATAAATTTCGTTCGTCGACACTTAGAAATTTAAGTTTTTGAATCCATCTCTTCTTTAATTGAAAGAAAGATCGAAACGCTTCTATCAAAGATCTAAAATAATATCTGTTTTTCAATTTAATTAACCATTAATCTCCACGTTTCTGAAACAGTTTCAGCGTGTTGATATCAAGCTAGGAGACATTTACACCGACATTCCTTCGATCGAAGGGATGTTACGTTAATTCCCTTCTAAGCTTTCGTTTCGGTTACCCTTTAAAGCTTGGATTAACCGACGGACAAATTAACTCGAGTTAACTTTATCCGTGCGTTTTGATTGATCGCAAAGAGAAACTTTCGAGAAAATTCGTATCGCGTTGTTTAATCATAGCGACGGAATCACAACTCGTTGAAGTCGAGCTTGAATTTCGCTCATTAGCCGGTTTCCACGCTTTGACAACGACCTCTCCGCTTTCGACGCTCGCTTTTCGCTTGTTACGTCCTTACTTCTTGATCCGTTCAGTCTACAATTTTCCAAACTTCCTTCGCTTTTTTTTCCTGTTTATAGAATCGTTGTTCTTTCTAATTAAACAGACTGCCATTGTGCTGACGTAGTTCTTCCCATTTCTTTCTTTTTTTTCTTACTTACGAATAAGATTAACGTTCTCTCGGGGCGAAGTTCTGACACGACGGTTTAATTAAATCTCTGTAATTCTACCGACTTGATAAGGGTAGTAACACGTTTTCTCTAGCGTTTCATTCTAATTGAATCGGTTTAAGTGTAAGTAGAAATTGTTTATTTTTTCGAGCGTTGTCTACCCTCTTTTTTACCACCCTTAATTGTTCATTCAACGTTGGTCACCCGAGTAACATAACAGCGTCTCGTTCGATTGATACGCGAGCATAAAACGCCCGTTCTTCAACGATCATAAATTCTTAACCACCGAAAGGATAGAACGAGCCGCAGAGAGCCGTTAAAATTGCGCCGAGGGAGAATTCAATTTATTCTTCGGTAGTTCCGATGATTCGATTCCGCAGGAAGATACAGCTGATAAATATCCCTCTTAAACAACGCGTCTAAGCTGCTTTGCGGAAATCGGCCGGCTTGTACAAGCGGCTGAACATTCGAATTTACCGTGTACCTAGCGTATATCCAACGCGAATAGAATTTTCGATTGTCTCGCAGCTTGAGAGCCTCCTGTGAAAACGGACAGAACGCGCTTGAAATAAGAGGTCAGCTAGCTGGTAGCTGAAATCCAGTTGGAAAATACGCCCGCGATAAATGTACCGCCTACGTATTTACATCTCTCCGGACAGTTTTATGGATGTACGAAAACAGAAATACTCTGGGGCTGATTTTTATTCGAAATAAACGGTCTCTTGTCCAGGCTCGTTTTCGGGTTCAGATTGCTTTGTGAAAAATATCAGTTCACCCATTTCGTGTGCATAATATTTTTAATATCAGGTAAAAGGTACATTTCTCGACTCTCGTGAGTAGTATTAATAAAAGTATTTTGCCTCTTCTTATGGATAGGGATTTATTGTCCTGTAAACTTCGGCAGGTAAAGGGTTAACGCGAATGCACGTGGTTTGAATGGCGTAACGAGAGGTTGTTAGTACAGTAGCTCGATCAGCAAACTGGCATACGCTACGCATTGTAATCGCAGCGGATCTTGCACATATCCGCGAGTGCACCAGCGTTCCCATTACAATGGTCGCACAATGTAAGACACTTTTGTCCATGGCGGTCGTTTGTTCAAAGGCCTGCTTCCGAGGGTTTTCGATGATTCAGCAGACAAAATGGAAATCGATCGCATCGATCTTTCGAAAACAGGTACCGCTGGGAGATGGAAAAATTCTAGGTACGAGCGTCCAGTGAGTTATGAAAGTGGACGAATATTTGCGGACTGGCTGGATAACTGGTGAGATATTGTGATGAATATGAAGCAATGCGAGTGTTATCATCGAGCCATGTAACATTTATGAAATATTTGTTTCGAATGCAGTTACTGTGCAGAATTTTTGATACTTTCTGAATGGTTTAATTTAATTAATCCATTCCAAAAAATTTCGTTTGTCTTTGACGAAATCGAAAAGTAACGTAGATAGAAAAATTTGAAACCCGTCCAAGCACGTACGCATAATGCATAGTTTTCTATCACTTGGAAACAAATATTGAAGCAGCTTTTCAACATGAAAATTGAAACTTTTAAAATGGGAGAAATTGCAATTGGACGTGTGCGCGTCGCTTTTATCCATTTTTCTCGGGCTTTTATTATTATGTATGAATCGGAGGAAAGAACGGAACGCTTGGCATAAGAGGATCCTTTAAGGGGAAATAAAGGTAGAGAGAAATGAATTCTTTTGTGCGGATGTTTAAAGTTCTCAAAAATATGAAAATTGCAAACCACGGTAGCGGCTGTTCTCTAAGCCTGTCGTAAAACAGGATATAGGTAGATATGCGGCGTTAAAGAACCCTCAGAGAGAAATAAAAATAGTGGAAAACATTGTGTGAGTCAACAATTTTGCTTTACTGCATTCAAAGTTCATATTTAAGGGATGAAAAAGGCGAACTAATATATTAAAATTTAGGATCGAAAAAGAATAAAATATTTAATTAAAATTGTCCCTCTCTCCGTGGTACGTCGTTTCAAGATTATTGCAAAATTTCATGACGCAAACGACTTTGTTACTAATCCACGTCGCGTCATTATTGTATCCGTCTGAAATAACAGCCACGTCGGGAGCGTAATTTATTTTCACGCCGTGGTGAAATTAGAACCGCGCAACGAAATTTACTTTTCTCTTGTACAAACGAAATTACCGTTTCGGGGAAGGACGAATGATAGCCGGGTGGAAGGCTCGTTGCTCTTCAACTTTGCCAATGTTTCGCGAGATAAAACGATCCAAAGCGATCCAGTCGCCTACCAGATGTTCTTCGAAGAGCACTTGTCTGGTCGCGTGAATTATCGAGTTCGCTACTTCGAGTACGATCCATCGGTTTCGTCGTCGTGCACATTCGAAAAGCCGGGAAATTTCGCGTCTCCTATCCCTTTCATGTGGTCTCCTATCTATCGACAAAGCAATCGGAAAATTTCCTATCACTTCCGTCCCATAGTGCTCGATCGGAACCTTTATATCCTTGTAAGGAACTCTAACACGATTTTCAAGTAATTTACACCCGTAGTTGTAATTTGTTTTCCATTTGTCCGTGGATCGAAAATAATTTTAAGACGAAGAAATTTCTTTTACTAACAAAAGCTTTTCTTTTTTCTGTTTCATGTTCACCCTTGGACGACGCCCTCTCCTTTGGACTTTTCAACGAATTTGGGTGATGGCTCGCAACAACGACACACTGATTAACTCTGGTGATGGTGGGCCACGCTAACGCGTCGTGGCGATGGTGACCACAATTCCTGGTACACCGTGGTGACGGTGACAATGACACGTTAATAAATCATGGCGATGGCGACCGCACTGGCATGCTAACAAACCACCCGTATGGTGCACCACTTTGATACACTAACATTTTGTTGTACACCTTGTTGGGTCAACGACTTAATTGCTCTTGTCACACACTCCCTTTGATCGCTTTTAATTATCCAATATACTATTCGCTGCCTCATTACTCTTATCCTTCCTTTTGCAATTCTGATTTAATTTCGTCAAACATTTTATTCGTTGTCGTTGGAATTTTTCATAATTTTATTTTGTGTAATTGGTCGCTATTCTATATAATTTTCTTTACCGTTTTTTATTAATCCCATATTATAATTGTAATTAAATGCAACCATAAATTCTGATGAAATTTTATATTCTTGCTTCGTACTTTCATTGTTGTATTAACATCAATTATTTTCATTGATTTAATACTTCGTTCAATCATCGCCCTTTATGAACATCGAGAACCATGATTCACGTTCCTGAAACTGACTGCTGTTCGTCAACAACGATCCCCAAAATGATCATCGTCGCATTTCCCTATGTTGGCAATGAATGTCACTCTGTCTCACCGTCGTTTCGTTCTTACTCTGATGGATTTCCACCGAAAACACCGCAACCGTTGCGGTTTTGCGCGCAAACTCGCCGCTGAATTCCACAAATGTGGCCCGGTTGTCCTGCCTGTGTTTCGTGTGTAAACGAAACGACACCACTTTCGCGGGTGTCATCGATACATCGACCGATCCTCGATTGATCCACTCGTTAATTACCACGAATCCCTCGAAACTGATCACCATTGCGGTGACACCGTTACGGGTCGTCGATCGATCCTGACTCTACTGTTTCCTTCCTTCCGGTCGCTCCTGTCAATTTACACCCCTTTCGATGCATCCACCTTTCATCGTTCCTTTTCCTTTTTTTCTTTCTCGATACCCTTTCGCGTGATTTTTACAATTTTCATCCCTGTTTCGAACCCCTTTGAAATGGAACACCGTTGTTTCGATCGTTCGATTCGATCGAATTACGAACTTAATATCTTTGTCTTGTTCCCGCTTTGTAACACTTGATTTATTCTTTATCCGATACCCTACGCTCTTGTTCCTGATTTCTCTTTTACATTCGCTTTTGTTCAACGAACCGTTTTATTGAAATTCTTCGCATGTAATGATTGATATTTAATATTGTTTAATTTTATTTTGTATAAATTCGCGTGCGTTTTAACCATTATTCTGTGCTCGTTGCTTTATTGTCTGCTTGATTTATTAATTAATATTCATATAAATTCTGTCGATACTTTTCATTCCTATTCATTACTGACTTCCTCATTTTCAACCTTTGAATGGAATCATCGTCTGTTAATTCGGATTGCGTGGTCGCGGTTTCGATTCGACAGCCTTGCTATCAGGCACCTTGAAGACCTATCAGCGTGCAGCATGCGACGAAGAGCTGATGATGCTCAAGTGTCCACCGGGTACCATGATATCTGTCGCCTTAGCTCAGTATGGCAGAGCCGGGGCAAATGGCACAGGCAGGTGTGGCGCACTCGATCCATCTTTACTGCTCCATGACAAACAGACAAATCAAACTTGCATCTGGCCCCAGTCGCTACAGGTATGTGTTTTAAAAGTATCTTCTTTCAATTTTTTAGTTATGAACAATGTATACAGAATATTTCGACGTTTCAAAGGGATCGAAACTCTATCTCAAATAGAACACGGTTCTCTAGTCTGATTGGTGAACTGTTTAATCTGGTGATCAATATTCAATAATGCTACTAGTAATAGGGTCGATTCAATACCTCACAGATTACAGCTACGCTTAGAAACCTGATACAATATTCTTCCTTAATGATTTAATAAAAATATTATATTATCGATCGCAGTAAAATATATTTTATCCAGAAATTCAATTGTAGAATAAGGAAAACTTTTATCTCGACGCGTAATTATTTTTTTAATTTATACACATGCAAGAAGAATAAAGAGCCGTTTTAATTGGAGGAACAATCAGGGGTTAAACAATCACGTTAATCGAATCGTTGCAAACCCGCAAATACGAAATCACGCACAATGCATTCATTTCTCTGAAAATGAGCAAACCTTGTTTGTTCGAAACCTACAAACGCGTAATTCGTGAGAATCGGTACAAATGGCAACGATGATGAAATTTATTGAATTTTGAAATCTGGTATTAAATCCGTGTCACAATTTACACTTCAATATTGCAAATTTTGCGTTTCTCTCCGCTGATGGAAACAGATAGAGGTGTATACGTGACAGATAACAAAATATCTGTTATTATACATGAATAATCTTTGTATTTATATAATTGCATCCGTCTCTGATTAATTTTCATTCAATTTCTCGCCACTTTCCTATATTCTGTCGAGCTTCTATTATTCCTTCTACCACAAATCGCGATGATAAGTGAATAATAACCTAAACACATATTTCCAATGAAACTTCACACTAAAGTGGAATCTAAATCTGGTTGATCTGCGGCTTTTGTCAACAACGTTTCAAAGCTTCATACCTCAGATTATTGCTTCCGCGAGTTTCGTATTATTACTTCCGGTGTTTTGCTAATTAACACTCGAATTCGCTAAATTTAAATAGCACCGAAGTATTATATCATCGATTCAAAGGTAACGAAACATTCCAGGAATAATTTCATTTACAATATCATATAGAAAAGATTATATTTTTCCAAATATCAAATTGCATTTCCATGGCATTGGATTTCCTGTCGCCATATTAATGTCACGAAATTGAATCGTATTGATTTTTGCCCCTGTTATGGGCACATGGTGAAAACTACATCGTCGCATTGTCACGATTGTACAATTTCACTTGAAATTGATCATTCGATGTCTGACATTTGATTTTGATCGAATCATTTGTAGTCCAATGTTTAAGCCTTTGTTTTATTGGTTTCGAAATGGTTCAAAAAATACTAAAACTTTAGAGATTTCATCAGTTTTTATAGGAATTCCCTTTGAAAAGAAATTTCTATCTATCCGACTGTCGAATATGCGAAATCAAATTTTATTCAGTTTAATTGAAAAGGATCGTTCTTTTTTATTTGTGAAATTGTTTTTGCGGTATCAAAACATTAAACATATTTTTATTTTGAATAATTCCACGTAAAAAGCAACCGAATTATTTTCAACTTTACCCGTTTCTCACTTTGCTCGACGTGATTCGCAATTGCCAGAGAATTTTCTGAAATTTCCTGGAAATTAGCTTCTGGCTTTCGACACCTTTCTCGTTGCTTCTTCGTTTGCGGCCGAAATGAAACTGGAATCATCACTGCTTATGCGTTTTCATTCATCTCCATATATAAACCTGCGAATCTCATCTAACCAGACTTTGTTAATACATTGAACATCCTGGAGCTACTGAGATAACTGATATGCAAATTTAATATAATCCAGCAATTGAATAAAATTATATTGAAAATAATATTTAAAATGCGTAAAGAGTAAATTACATTTTCAATCGTTTAAATTGTTTTAATTAAATAGAAATATCTTTCATTATTTCTTTATCACTTTATGTCAAAGTGACCTAATGTGAAACGTGTTTCCTAAATAGTGGTATTTACGGTCAGATATGGTCTGCAATTTCGAACAGAATTGAATAAACCTTCTAAGCGGCGGTAATTGCTGAATGTTAACGACCACAAATCTCTCATTTGAGATTGTTAATGACAATTCAGAAATGAAATCTGCTTTGCCAAAAATTTCAAACAAGTCTTCCATTTCTCGACAAATTGTAGATCAATATGTACTTGACGTAAAATTCGTGTTCATTTCGGTGGAATCTAATCTCCTCTAGTTTTCACAAAATTTCAACATAGAGGATCTGTTCAATCGAATAATCTCTTACGTCCCAAGGCGCACCACCACGATAATAACTTATCGATGAAGCTACAATGGAAACTCCTCGTGGTTATATCTAGTGGGTTAGGAAAGAGGTACGAGGATTTCGTATTGATTTCGTATTTCACGTTTCCACTGCTCCGGAAAGGGACCATTGTGCATGGTCCTTGCCACGGCACCGCGAAAATAAAATAACTTCTTTTATTCAGCCAATGATCTCGTAGTCGTTTCTTGGCCTCTTTCGTCTTTCTTCGCGGACCTTTTATCCATTCCCTGCTACTTGTGGCCATTTTTTTCCTGGCCGACTTGAAACCTGCTAACCAGAATACATTTCACTGTTCTTATCTTACACATAAGTGAACCTTGCCTCTTATCTTTTTTCTTGTTCGTAAATCTGACTTATCTCGATCAACCATTGAACAGAATTTTGCAATTCTATTATTTTTCGGGTCTTTTCGATTCTCCTCTTAAAGGATATTGAAACATAAAATGATTCAAGTATTAATTGTAAATCATAGGAACAACGTACCGGAACGAAGAACGAGAAAGAATCTCCCTTTACCCTTTCTCCCATTTTTCTAGCATAATGTGATTGTTCTAACGACGCAAGGAACAGCGATCTCGCTCATTTACTTTTTCCCATGGGGCTTATCGGAAATGGAATATGAAAAGGTTGCGGCAAACTGGAGGACCGAGGACACAGAGTCCTCGAACGCATGGCATCGCGCCAAATACGCTCATTATTTTGATTGCCACGATCAAATTTATTATTCCAGCGCGTGGTAACTGCGGAAACGTCATCTAGATTTATCGAAGCGCAGCTAACCGTGGCACGAAACAATTTCGCCGTTCTATTCGGCGAAGTTTTATTAAGTAAACGCGATCTCCCCTCGGCAACAGCCGCTATTAAACGTGCCCATCGAGAGGTAGATTACGAGCTGCAATTTCCCTACGATTAAAACTCTAACGTGGTTTTCGCAACCTTAAAAAAATTAAAAAGTTTTCACTACGTCTCGTTAGCTTTTTAAAGAATTCCAAGGAGCTTTCGAAAATTTGATTTTCGGTACCCTCGATTTCGCTGAAGAAAATTTCTCAACGTTCCTTAATTAAAACGAAATAATTCTTGACTATTCCTGTTCTTATCAATTGAATCTCTCTTCGATATCTATAATAGCCTTCGGCACGCCGTTTCCTCGCGGAGGATCCTTTTTATTACCGGACAAGTTTCGCGTGTTTTCGACCGAAGTAAACGAGATCTGGCAAACTTTCAACATTCGCTTTCGAAACGACGAAATCGTTCGATGAACGTGTAAGTTCGCCTTCTTAATCGTTAACGACCGACACGAACTCGTTCCTTCCTTCCTTCCTTCCTTCCTTCGCTCTCAAAGGAGTTCCTCGTCGAGTGGCACGTGGCTGCCTTTGTGATTCGTTTGCCCATGTAAATCGACTTCTTAACAGCCTTTCAAAAATCGAGTTAATTGGAAGACCGATACTCGATCCTGCGAAAATTGTAAGTGCGAAAATTAAGCTTTAATGATCGAGCTCTTGTTGCTTCTGCTTCGCTGCTCCAGCATCCTCTTTGCAGCATTTTCAACCACTCGGTTCTAATTAACTTAATTAAATAATAAGTTTGTTCATCGCGACTTGAAATTTCTCTAACAATAAGCTTTCGTAAAATGATGCATAAAAACAACCTGCAGAATGTTATGTAAAACTCTTAGACAGTTTCTGTTTGCACGTAACAAGTATCTAATATCTCCATCGGCAGAGAATTTTTCATTGAAACTTTCCTATAGAATATAACCATACAATATTGACATTCTTCGTCAGAACAGGTCGCGCAAAAGCGTATGCTCGTCGAGCTCGCTTTCCGTTTTTGATCCCGGCATTAGGGGCAAACGTGTGCAGTAAACGTTACACGTAACCAGAAACCGTACCTTATTTCATACACCATGGCCATTTTCAGCCCCGTTTCGAGGAAAAATAAAGCTTTTACAGCGTTGAAAGTGCGCGCTTATTGGCATTATTCAGACCTTATTGTATACGGGGAGAGAAAAAAGTGTAGCACGATTCGCAGAGCTATAAAAGTAGCTGGATAAAGTCTAAGGATGAAATATTGGATCGATAGCAATTTCAGAATCGTTCTCTTAAAAATTTATAGGTATCGACTTTTGTTTTCCTTTCTATTTCGAGTCAGCTGATATTTGAAGAGAGTCGAAAGTGATCTCAAATCAAAATTTAGATTTTGCATTACGAATTTAAGTTTAGGAAAATGTGATTATTAGAAAGTAAATCGAAATAATGTAAAATTAGAATATTTCCATTTAAATCGTGAAAGTTGAAGAACTGTGAAACTCGTTACTCCTAGAAAGATTGAATTCTTTTCGGAGATTTTTCCATTTCGTATCTTTCCATTTAGCTGAAATATATTTCGTCGATTGTGCGATACAAATATGATCTTAAGCCACGATATGTATGTTTCTTTGTTAGGGTTTCTCGGAGAGAAACGAACTAGGTATACTCGAAAAAATTTCATTGTTATTTAAATGTTTTACTTAAGTGTTCTACTTTAAGGTGTTCTATTTTAAGTAAATAAGTATTTATGCAATATTTTATAAATGAATGAAAGTTTTACTAATGAGCAAACTTGTATAAGAAAATATATCGTGTCCAATAATACTTTGAGTATATTGCAAATAAAATATGAATAAATTGAATGATACAATAATAA